AATGAAGTGACACAAGAGGGCAGTCGAAGAGGAAAAGGGGATTAAAAGAATTAAGATGTTGTATAAATGTATTACTCTCCCTATAATGTGATCATTACATACTGCAAACATGTACTAATAAAAAGTAATTTAGAAAAAATAAACACAAGTGGCCAATACATGTATTTGTTTAGCTAGAATTCTTCAGCATCTTTAGCTGTCAGGGAAAAGAAATTGAAACTTGCAGAAGTTTCAATAGACATGTCGGAATGGCTATTGTTAAGAAACAAAAATAGCAAATGCTTGTGAAGATGTGGAGAAAAGGGGCCCTTGTGCACTGTTCGTAAGAATATAAATTAGTAGTCAGTATAGGAAAGTATGTGGAGGTTCTTCAAAAAACTAAAAATGAAACCATCATATCCATCAGTACCATTCCTACAATCCATGTTCATTCTAGCACTATTCACAGCAATCAGATTATAGACTCATCCTAGATGCTTATCAGTGGATGAATGGGTAAAGAATATGCGTTATACATGCACATTGACATATTGGTCATAAGAAAGGATGAAATGTCATTTGGAGAAAAGGGGACTATCATCTTAAATAATTCAGACTTACAAAGACAAGTATCTCATTTTTTTTTTATACATATATGAGTCTGTTAGGATGGGAGAGATGGATGGTATTGATATAGGGGAATGAAACTCCCAACCTGAAAGGTACCTTGAACGAGTTCGTGTTCTCTAAAACCAAAGAATGAATTTTAGGAACAAGTGGAGGTTAAGAGCATGATATAATTTTGAGGGGAAAGAAAGTGTCTGTCTAAGAGAGGGATAAAAGGGGGACCTGTGCAGGTTGCCCCGTGGAGCTGTCTCTTCCAGGGATTTTTATAGAGTAAAATCATGTGGTGAAGCAGGTCTAAGGTTGAAAACATGAGAACCTAGTGGTTGACCATAGTTTCATCCTACCTCAACCAATGAGATTATAAGCACCATTGCTTAGGTAAAATTGATTAAATCCAGGACCAAATAAGGAATCAAGTCATATAGCAAGCAAGCATGAATAAGGAATAGGGTCTTTTCCTGTTGGGGGTTGGGTTAGTGACTCTTTTGGGCTCTTTCAGGGTGATTGTTACCTATTTAGAATATCAATCTCTGATGCCCATCCCTAGGAAAGTATGTGGCTGCATTTGTTTACTCTTTTGTCTCGAGGTCTGGCCCATAACAGGAATGTCTGTCTCTTTCAAAGTTGCAAAGTCACCTTGTCTTCTATGGTCTCCTTGAGGGCCTAGCCCTGTCTGACTGCCTATAATATTTCTAATTTAGCTGCCTGCAACAGTATGATACATGAAGGGTGATATTAGGGAAGTGAAAAGGTATGGGAGAGGTGTAATAGAAGATGATAGGGTGGGTATAATCAAAGCACATGATATCACGTATGCAAGTGTCACAGTGATTTACATTTTTTGCACAATTAATATACCTTAATTAAAAATTAAATACTTTATTGTTAATTTTTTTAAAATTTTTTTTAAATTTATGTATGTGTGTGTGTAGTTGTGTGTGTGTGTGTGTGTGTGTGTGGCCAGCTCAGCCCACCAGAGGGCGCGGCTGGCTGGCATGTGGTGCTGGGGGATTGAACCGTGGTCCCTTTGCTTTGCTAAGCTTGTTCAAATAGGTGCTTTAGACCACTGAGCCATCTCACCAGCCCCTTTATTGTTAATTGACCCAATATATTTGTTCAAAATATTACTAATGATGTGTTGTTTATGCATATGCATGTATATGTATGTGTGTAGTAACTTGGATGTATAAGTGAAATTAATGATAGGAATGATACAAAGAAGTTGAATTACTTTGCATTTTGTAAGGCACTCCCACTGTTACTTGAAAATGTACTTGGGTTAATTATGATTGTTATATTGCAAACTCCAGTACAACTAGTAAAATATTTTTTTAAAGAAGAGAGAAATGGAATCACATAAAATGCTCATTTAAAACCACTGCAATCTGTAGCCCCACAAAACAACAGCAGTAACAAAAATAAAAAATTCTAGAACCATATGAAAAGAAAGTGCAAAGCAAAACTAGGAACAAAGACAGGGACAATGAATTAAAAAAAAAAAAAAAGCAAATGGGGTGGGTTGTCTCAGTTACTTTTCTCTCATTGCTGGGACAAAATACTCGACCCTCAGAATTAAAGAAGAAAAGCTTTATTTAGCTCACAGTGTATGGAGGTTTCAGTCCATATTTGCTAGGTCCAAGGCAGAGTGCCATGTGGTAGAAGTCAGCAGTTCATGGCAACAGAAAACAGCAAAGAGCAAAGGCAAAAGGGAGGACCAGTATCAGCAGTGACAGAGGCAAACATCTCTCCTTCCTTCTGTTGCCTTCAGGCTATCTGCCCCAGGGTGGGTGTAGCACTTATACCCATAATCCCAACAGCATTTATACACATAATCCCAGCAATACTCAGACTCATAATCCTAACATTGGATTATGTATTAATCACAAACTCTAGAAGCTGCCCCAGTGACTGCATGAGGCTTTGGGGGTACACCTAGATTCAAACAATAACGTTCTGTTCCTAGACCCTTGAAGACTCACGTACATCCCTAAATGCACAAGGCATTTTAGTCCATCTCTAAGAGTTGCCAAAGTCCTAGTTCCAGCATTGTTGAAAAGTCCATGTCCCAAGTCTCCTCCAAGATCTAAGGCAAACTCTTAGCTGTGAGCCCCATACAAATGAAAAGTTAAACACTTTCAACATTCAGTGGCACAAGATAAATATTACCATTCCAAAAGGTACAGGCAAGAGGAATACGGGACCAAAGCAAGTCCAAAATCGAGCAGGGCAAACATTAAGTCTTTCAGTTCTGTGTGGAACATCCAAAGTAATCTGTGATGAGTTGTGAGCTCCAAAAGCCTTACATGGCTCCGCCCCCATGGTATTTCTAGGGGATGTAGCTCCCATGGCTTCTGTCTTAGGCCAGTTTTGCTCTCTTGCAGCTTTTCTTAGATGATCCATGTTCCTGGCTTTTCCAAACTTCTAGGTTCTCCACCCTACTTAGGCTTCTCACTCACAGCTTTACACACTGCCCTACCAAGGGCACACTGCCTGGCCTCCTAGGCCTTATAAAATCTAGGTGGAAGCCTTCTTAATCTCAGAACTCTGACATTCTGCCTTTTCTTCACTGCTGCTTAGAATGCAAAAGTAGCCAATCCACTTGAAAAAGCACTGTGACAGCTGCTTATAAAACTAAGCATACGTTTGTTATATGGTCCAGCAACTGTACTTCTTGGAATCTTCCCTTTGTAGTTGAAAATGTTAAATAAATCAAGTCAGTTTGAGTATCATACACATTGTATGATTTCAGCAAAGGCAAAATTGTAGCGGCAGTATTAGTGAGTTGTTTCAGAGAGGGCACACATAAAGGTTTTGGGGCAGGAAACTAATCTGATGTACTAGTATATATTAATCATTATGTTTGTCCAAACCTATAAAATGTACAATACCCAGTGAAACTTAACATAAACTGAATTTTGGGTACAGGTCATCAATTATAGCAAATGTACAATCTGAGGTATTGTATATGGCCAAGGTGCATGTGTGCACAGGGCATGTGGGGAAAAAATCTACTTAGTCCTTAGTTTTGCTGTAAACCTAAAATGGCTCTATTATTCAACAGAAGAAACATACTGATGTAAAGTGGTTTTTTTTTGGTTAATACTTAAAATAGTATTTTTATATAATAGCAATTAAAGTGCTCTTAGTATTGTGACAGGTGTTGAAATTTATAAGAATTTCAATTTTAATTGTTAATAAAAGTATGAAAATACATGATGGGATTGTATCATTAAAATCATACTGGATGAATAACATAATAACATGTATCTCATAAGAATGCTATGAACATTGAATCAGTACATGTAAAGTTCTTAAAGTAGGACTTACGCATAGGAAAGTCCATGGTAATTATCCAAAATTGAGAAGCCTAAAAATGACCATTCTTCTGTTACTCTGCATGATGAGCCCCTGAAGGTCAATTGAGCCCTTTCATCTGTCCATAGGGAGGCTGGTTACTGGCCCAAGGCAGCCCTCCCTTGTGCCTCGATCTCGCTCAGCTCCCTTCACAGTGCACAAGAACAGTTATTATAGTTATACGGTGAGATTTTAAAATGAGTGCTGCCTTTTAGCCTTACATGAGCATCTATTTCTTTCTTTCTTTTCCCATATCATTTGCTTTTTCATTCTGATCAACCATGACAGACTGCTTTTTTTAAGACTGCTTTATTTTCATACAAAAGTCATATTTTTTCCTGTCTGGCCTTTTGAACATACTGTTTTCTTTGGACAAAACATGTTCTTTCTTTTCTCCACCTCTTTGCTTTATTTGGGTAGATTGTATTCATGATTGCGTTGTGTCCCTTCTTTACTAAAACTTTCCTGACAAACTCTCATAAGACTATATTTTTATAATGGTTTCTCTTCATATTTTTAACATAATTCAAACTTTTCATCTCCACTTGAACTGCTTTATAGACTGAGTTCTCCTAAGGAAGTGATAGGGAACCTTTTTAAGGTTTCAGTGATACAGCCTACTGCAGCATGTTTGTTGTAGGTTCATCACCACTGTCCTAAGGATTGATAGGATCTAATACATGGATTGCCAGGTCTTGGCATATAGGAGGCTCCCAATAAATGTTCTACACATGAATGAATGGATATACACTGAATGCTGGATGCAGATGCCTATAATTCCAGCTACTTAGAAGACTGAGGCAGGAGGACCATAAATTTGAGGGCAGCCTGGGCAGCATACTAAGACCTTGTTCCAAAATAAAAATTCAAAAGGCTGTTAATGTAGCCCAGTGGTAGAGGACCTGGGTAGCACAAGGAGGCCCGGAGTGCCATACTCTACTACAAAACCCAAACAGAGAATACAAAAGCTTCAGTGCTGCTTAGAATTTGCTTAGCATTATTTTAGCAATTGCCTTTATTCACAGAGTTGTTTTTTCCAGAGAAGCTGCTGAAACTCAGAAGCTGATTTGGTCACATTCTAAGATGCCTTCAGAATATTCTCCATACCTCCTAAATCAGTCTTTAGAGCTTGGTGGATTTCACTAGATGTCTCCAGTCTTCATTTTGAACTCAGGTATGCTAGCTTTTATTTTATAATTTGTATTCTTAGGACCAGCAAGATAGCTCAGTGGACTAAGTGTCTGCTTAGGCAAGCATAGGGACCAGGATTTGATCCCTGGTACCACATGCCACTCCAGCCCCGACCCCCGGCATGCTGAGCTGGCCACTGAGTCCAGTCATGGTGGTGCACTCCTGTAATCCCAGTGCTGGGGAGGCTGAAAACAGGATCACTACAAGTCCAAGCTGTGTTGTGAGACCCTGTATGAAATACATAAATTTTTTTAAAAAGTTGTAATTTGGATTCTTATGAAGAGAAAAATTACTCAAAAATAATCCACATGCATTTTCACTTTAACAGTTTCTGATATTTCTCAAAATTACTGCTCAAAAGTAAGAGTTACAACTTGTCTTTGTAGAGATACAGGGAGGTGATTTGCAAATGACTGAAAACTAGAATAAGGATTATTTACTTCCTGCCTGATTTTAGGTTCAGTGATAGTGTATAAGGAGCTGAGGTAAAGAAGAGACAGTCACCTCTGTAGTACCAATGTACCTGTGAATTTCCATGAGGGTCTGAATACTACTAAATTCAACCTCCTGTACAATTTTGTGTGATTGATGAACTAAAAGCAGTAGTATTTTTAAATGGCTGAAAAAAAATGCCTCAAAGAATACTAATTTGTAACGTAAGAGAATTAGGTGAAATTCAAATTTCATTGTTCACAAAGCTTTATTAGAACATAAGACACTTAAAAAATTGTATGGCTGCTTTCAAGCTATAGTGACAACAACTGGTTGAGTCCTTAGGACTCAGAAAACAATGATAGCAACAAAGTTTACTATATGGACTCTTTCTTAATAAGTTGACCCTTCTTATTCTGTATGGTTGAAGTATACTTTGAATGCAAACATTTAAGAGATGAGTTGGGGAAACTTAAAGGAATTTGAGAATTGGGTCTAATTCTCAGTGACATACTTATGCTGTATTCTACCTTGAAAAGTATAACCTATAAGTTAATAGATTAACATGTACTTTTGTAAATCAAGAGAATTGGATTTCCCTGTTATTTTTCTTTTAAAATGGTTGTATGTGAGATTAAGAAAGAAAATTAATATTTGCAGCTTTTACCACGTTTTAATGTTACCTTAATATCTTAAAACAGTTAAAAAGGCTGAATATACCTTCTGTACAGTTTCTGGATTTTTTTTACTGATACATAAAGATTGCCTTTTATTTATAGTTCACAATCTCATTAGCAGTGTACAAAAAATCTCCTTGCTTTGTATCCTTACCAACACTTGAAATTATTAGTATTTTTAATTTTAACTCATCTGATGTATATGTAGTGAGAATATATTCATGTTTCTATGAAGATCTAGCACATTTTTGTATACTTAATATAAGCCTGTTTGCACATTTTTCCTTTTATTAGTACACATTTGTAGTAATGAGTACATTTATTGTGGGGACTTGCTGCATGTAAATAACACTTCTTAATTTAACCCCCTAGTCCTCTCATCTCACTCTGTTCTCTCAAACTGTTCAACCCTTTTCCTGTTGGTAAAAGCTCTTAGGGCCGGGGAGATAGCTCAGTAGAATATCTGAGTTCAATACCAAGTACCACAAAATAATAATAATAATAATAATAAATAAAATAAAAGCTCTTATTTTATTATTTTTTCCATCCCTTCTCCCTTCCCCATCTATTGTTTCCCCTTCCTGTTTAAAGAACATCTTTCTGCTTCCTGTTATTTTTTACTTTGTTCTTATTTGTGTTTTGAGTTTCTCATGTAAGAGAAACGATGAGATATTTAAGAATGTGTCTGATTTATTTCATTTAATAAATGTTATGGTCTCAAAGTGTATTCATTTTCCTGACATAAGTTTCACCTTTTTATGTCAGAGTAGTATTCTATTGTGTAGAAGAAATACGACATTTTTTGATCTATTCATTTGTTAATGAGCATATAGTCCATATCTAGTATTTTGCATGTTTTTCTATTCTGTTGTTTACCTCAATTATCCAAGAAAGATAATTTTAGATTTTTGTTGGATTATGTATTAAAAATTTGTCATCTAACCTTCAGGTTGCTTCTTTACTATTTTAGTGCTGTATGTTCATCTTTTAGTCTTAGTAAAGTTCATTTTACCAAATTAGTATTTTATAGTTAATATTTTTTTGTGTTTCAAGAAATATTTAAAAAATACAAATAAATAGAGACCCAGTCTTAGCCCAGGCCCAGTGAGTGTGGGAGAGCTTCCGGCTACCCTGAGCCTACAGGACCTACAGGTCCCAATCCAGGGGCAGCGTGGGTGAGACCCTATTGCACGCCCTTGGGATGCCCCCCACCACTCCACAGCACCTCCCCCATCCCGCCCGCTGAGTGGGAATTTTTGCTGCATTCCGGGAACCCCCAGACCCAGTCCTAGCCCAGGCCCTGTGAGTGTGTGGGAGAGCTTCCAGCTACACTGCGCCAGCAAGACCTACTGGTTCCAGCCCAGGTTCACAGTGGGTGAGACCATCTTCCGCCCCCTTGAGACGCCCCACACCACTACGCAGCACTCGCCTACCCCACCAGCCTAGTAGGAACTTCTGGCACATTCTGGGAATCCCTGGACACAGTCCTAGCCCAGGCCTAGTGAGTGTGTGGGAGAGCTTCCGACTACCCTGCGCCTGTAGGACCTACTGGTCCCACCCCAGGCACAGCATAGGTGACACCCATTTCACCCTCTTGGGATGCCCCCCATTACTCCGTAGTAACACCCCCACCCCACCCACAGAGTAGGAATTTCTGTCGCGTTCTGGAAACCCCCAGATCCAGTCCTACTCCAGACCCTGTGAGTGTGTGGGAGAGCTGCCTCTCCCCCCTACTCCACCTTGGCATCTCCAGGCTCTGCTCAGGCCTCGCATACAGGCCTGGGGTGAAACCCTTCAGCTGCAGTCCCTGCAGAAAGTTTAGGGGACAGAACCACCCAGCTAGTCCAGGAGCAGGACATCTTGCCAGATGGGCACAAAAGGTTCACCCCCAAGGGCAACAACTGGAAGGAACAGAGCACAGCAGTCAGACCCAAGCCAGACACAGCTGGATAAATCCAAACTTTGTAGATCTACACCTGAACTTCACTAGGTGCTAAGGTGATAACTGCAATAAAGATCTTCAACAAAGGTCAGAAGACAGTGCTACACAAAATGATGAGAAGGAGCAAAATGCAATCTCAAAACCCAAGCCCACCCATAACAAGTACAGAACACTAACACAGAGCAAATTGGGAATCACACAGCTGAAAAGAATGAATCAGTGGCTTCTGAAGCCTCAGAAAGCTATAGAGGAACTCAGATTGGAAATGAAAAAAGAAATCCCTGAATTAATTACATCTCCAGTAAAGAGTAAAATGCAGAAACATATGCAGAAAACCCTATGCCCACCCAGAACAAGTGCAGAGGACACTAGCTCAGCTCAAATGTATGAATTAATAGCATAGATAGTAAATAAGCAACAGTAGAAAGTCATAGAGGAACTCAGAGTGGAATTCTTTTCTACTAGCTCAGCTCAAATGTATGAATTGATAGCATCGATAGTAAATAAGCAACAGCGGAAAGTTAGAGAGGAACTCAGAGCGGAATTCCTTTCTGAAATAAAACAAGAATTCTCAGAACTCATAGCATCTGAGGTAAAGAATCAACTACAGAAACAGAGAGAGGAAACCCAATCTGAAAAAGAAACACTGCAGTAAAAGAATTTATAACTGCTTGTAATGAACACATTGATAAAAAAAAAAGAGATTAGAAAAATGACGGATTCCTTCAGTGAGCAATATAGGAAAGAAACAGATCGCATGAAGCAGAATTAAAGAGATATAGAGGAAATTAAAATCTCAATCACAAGCTTCCAAAACCGTTTAAGTGAAAGTGAAGACAGATTCAGATCTTGAAGACCCTGGTGCGGCTAGTGAAAAGACAAGAAAGGATGTCTTAAAAACAACAAGGATGCATGAAAGAATAATCCATCACCTGCAAGATGATGCAAAGATGAACAATGTGAGACTAATAAGCATCAATGAGAAAGAAGGAGTCAAAAGAAATGACATTAAAAAAATATGGGCTGAAGTAATAGCAGAAAACTTCCCAAACATGAGGAAACAATGTGATATTCAGGTAACCGAAGTATGCAGAATGCCAATTAAGCTCAACCCAATTAAAAACACACCAAGACATATAATAGTCAAGATCCCAGAAATTCAGCACAAGAATAATCTACTGAAAGCCGCTAGAGAAAAGAAGCAGATCACATTCAAAGGAAAAC